TTAAACACCATAGTGCAAGGCTTACACTAAGTGTAGAAAAAAATCATACACTTATGAATAATGTAAAAGTCTAGTGAGAATTATTTGAAAAGATGCACTCCTCAAGGGCTCACAGATCTTTCAGAGCAGTTTGAGGATAAGGGAAGGAGCTTCTTCCCTACGAAATCGCTGACACAGCAGCCCTGTCGACGCTGTGGACATTACCTACATCTCTCCTCTGGTTCCTTACTGTTAGATAGTTCTGTTAACAACCAGTGACGTTGGCTGCAGGTGTTTGTTGATGCCATGCTACCAACGCAAGCTCTGAACAGTACTTACACTACACTAAAAATGCAAGGAGCAAACACATTTGCACCTAGGCTGCGGACTCTCACAGTCTTCTAACCGAAACCCAGATCTATAGACACCACAGTCCCTACCTGCTCATCACAGGCCCCCTAACAGAATAAAAACCACCTCATCTGCCACCTGAGCTGCTTGAATGAGCATCCCAGTCCACGTCAGCGGAAACGAACCTGTGAAAAAGGTCACAATCCCACCAGCAGTTCTTTGCTAACACGGTTCAGCGTGAGTCACACCACCTTCAGCCTGGACCGTTACAGAGGGAAGAAAATTCCTGTCTACAGCACACGACTTCTAACAATGCTGTTACTTACAAGTTCAACGGTGGGACTTGATCTTAGGGGTCTTTTCCAACCTTAACGATTCTACGATTCTAACTGCTATTATTAGCAGCAGAAGTTTTGATAATCATTTCCTCGTGTGCAAGAAGCCATTTACTAATGAAGCAACTAAAAGCCTCATTGATATCTCTACACAAACGGCTAATAAACCAACCTACTTCTGCATTTCACAATACAAATACTGTGATTAAGTGTTTTAGCACAATGTTGCAATTACATTTCTATGTAATATTTACATCTTTCATGAAAGGATCTCTCAAAAGTTCAAGAAATGAGGTGTCATTTGACTACACAAAAGCCTGTTCTTATGTTACTGGGCTCTCCTACGTTGGCTTAACCTTGGACGTACAGAAGTAAGTACACTGAGAGAAGAAAGCTTTTGCTATCTGAAAGAAATGCTGTTTGTTAGTAAGTCTGTTTTAACAACAAACAGTTGCTTTACAGAAGCAGTTCTCAGCCTCCCCTCCGTGCCTGGGAAGATCACGGAACAGATCCTTCTAGCAGCTATGCTAAGGCACATGGAGGACAGGGAGGAGATTCAAGACAGCCAGCCTGGCTTCACGAAGAGCAAGTCCTGCCTGACCAACCTAGTGACCTTCTGTGATGGAGTGACTACTTCAGCAGACAGGTGAAAAGCGATGGAAGTCATCTATCTGGACTTCTGTAAGGCCTTTGACATGGTTCCCCACAACATCCTTCTCTCTAAATTGGGGAGATACAGATTTGGTGGGTGCACTGTTTGGTGGATGAGGAATTGGTTGGAAGGTCGCAGCCAGAGGGTAGCAGTCAATGGCTCAATGTCCAAATGGGTGCCAGTGACAAGTGGTGTCCCTCAGGGGTCCATACCGGGACCAGCACAGTTTAATATCTTTATCAATGACATAGACAGCAAGAACAAGTACACCCTCAGCAAGTTTGCAGATGACACCAAGCTCAGTGGTGACACACCAGAAGGACGGGATGCCATCCACAGGGACCCGATGCGGCGTGGGTCCGGCGCCTTGCTTCACGCCAGGCAGCAGCTACCTTGCTTACCTTGGCTGCGGGAGGTGACACCTTGTTCCCGTTTGTGGCTCTGAGGTGGTTTTCCCTGTGTGCGATGCAAGAGCGAGAGCATCATGACCTGAGCTTCAGCTCTTGCCGAGGATAGAAAGGAGGTTGCATGTCCCCAGTCAGCCCAGCTGCCATCCCAGCAGGCAGCAATTTGGAAACGCAGAGCTCGGGAAGCAGACGTGGGTAAGGGCAGGAGGAGAAGCTTCCTTTCTTCGTGGTTAAAACCTGGGAGGAACCGGTCAGTCCCCCCGGGAACCTCCTCCCCGCAGCTGCGGGCGAGCATCCCTCGGTGCCTCGGTTTCCTCGATCGGGAGCAGGGACCTCAGGCGGGACCCGGGGAGGCAGAAATGGGGAAGATGCTCTCTGGGGCTGGCCAGCCGGGCCC